CATTGATGTTGGTCCAAGCAAGATCGAGCGTGTTTCTGGCTCGATGCCTTGGCTCGCACACAATCAGACAAGTAAGATTGTAATGTTCCACCCATCTCTCGATTTCAACTCCTTGTCTGCGTGGATCGGTAACCCCTGGTTGACAGGCACAGTGCACCGTGTTGAAGTCGCCTGCTACAACAGATCGTTTTGGTGGGTCCCAGCTGAGGACTGGTCGAATCGCTGTCAGGTCGTTCGGGTCTTTGTACATGTTGAGAAACGTGACTCTATTTACTACAACCCAGCAGTAGTCCGCTGTCAGGGGATCGTAGGGAAAGATTTGAGTTGCCGAGTGAATTCTCCTGTCAATTAGTGTATAATTCACTGCCCTGGGTCGAACAATTACGCCGCCATGTAGTATATGGCAGTCGAAACCAGGGTATGACTTGTGTCTGCTTAGCAGTCGCTTGAGATGCTGCCTCAGCGCGACAGACTGCAGCCTTAGCCCTTATAGCTGCCGCTAGCTCGCGCTGGATGGCCGTGCAAATGGTAGCCAATTGCTGTTTGCTTACCGGCCCTGACTTGGTTGGGTGCGCCAGGAAAGCTCGACTGTCGGACCTGTGTGGTCCTCCACAGTTGCGTCACTTTGTATGTACATGGCACTCGTCTGTTGAGTGCATAGTGGAGGTGCTGTTCCAGCAAGCTGGGGCGCGAGAGCAAACACGCGTTCCGTGGAGCTGCAGGCAGCGTTTACATTGCTGCACTGCCTGTCGCGCTTGATGTCGGACCGCGACATCCGAGTCGTCAAATAGGCGGAACCCTTGTCTAGGCTCTGCTTGTTGTAATGGAAGTTGTATAGAGAAGCTTAAGCTGTTAGACTTGTGTTTAATATCACCTAGTGAAGCGAGTTTGGAGATTGAAGAGTCTGAAAACTATAGTGTAGAGTTGTTGATCAAACCCACTTAGTATCAGAGCGCTATTTAAACTAATTACTACATCTAAGTGAAGGACACGATTCACTTGTTTATGCTAAATAATTGGGAGGCTGGTCAATGTATGAGTCGTCATGAATGTGGCTAGTAATAATAGAACCTTATTACGTTCCGTATTAATGCGACTCTTCATTGCCAAGTAGCGCCAATTTCAACACTGCTCCCTTCTTCAAATTGGCAAGCCATGACTGTTGTGCCTGGACCCACATAGCTACAGTGCACAGCTCAAGTTATGATGGTCACGCGACTGCATGCGTTTACCCTGTTTGCTCCTGCTTCTTTGAGTTAGTATCATTAGTAAGCAATAGTCTAGGGACTATAAGTAGAGAGCTTTCCTCCACAATAGATAGAGTAAGCAATTCAGTCTTTCCTCATTCTACAGAGATCATTCTCCGCTCCACTTCTTGACCTGTCCGGCCCAGCAGCCCATCTGTGATCACTAGCAGCGAGCTCCCACAAATTGTATGTACACCCGAATCACAGACCTATCACATCAATGACCGATATGGCACGTCAGGGCGGATTTTCCTGTGAGGCCGAACTATGACTGGAACGGCCTTTGTACCTCTGATGATCTCCTCTATCACTGACACCCTACCAAGAAGTGTGTAGATGGCTACGGGGACTGTCGACATCCGGAGCGCCACAAAGTCGGAGGCCTCTTCCAGTTTTCTTTCGATAGGGAGGAAAGATTCCGCCGTGTTCAGTAGAAACTGGCGAGATTCCTGGTTCTTCGCTCGAAGCGCGAAACCAGTTAAGACTCGGCAGACATATTCAATGGCTACTTTTGGCACGTTGGTGAGCTGCGCCACAGCATCTCTGATCCCAGCTTGGGACATCTTTTGCCACTGATGATTTGAGTTCAGCCGGAGGAACAGTTGGTTGTCTGGCGTGGACGAAGGGATCGTCTTGTCTGATTTATTGGTCGACGGGGCGGGGGGGGACTTGAAGACACTGGTGTAGTTCCAGTGCGTAGGAAGTGGGCGAGAGCTCCCCTTAGACATGCGTTCATCTCGTCCAAGTATTCCTTATTATCCGTCGTTTTTAGTGACAGAATAACGCTTTCCAATGTATCTATGACCATTGAGCCCTTTTAGAGCTTAGCGGAGGCATTTTCAGCCCGCTTTCTTTCGTCTTCCAATAAAGCTTCGGTTTCTGGCGGGTATTGTTGTGTCGCACTTGTGGGAGCACCACCAGCAGATAGCTTACAGCGCGCAGCCATCCCGGGAACCGAGGCCGCGGCTGGCGGAAGTTGTGAGGCTTTGCTGCCTTTGCGTTATTGAGTTCTTCCGTTCTCCTCAGTGTGCTCGTGGTTTGTTTCCGCTTTGCTATCGGAACCGCAATTTTCGAGCCGCAACGCGTGCGGATTCTGGCGTTGCTTTCGTCAAGACTACTTTCTCGACGACAATTGTTGATGCAGTGGACGCCTTCTGGGAGCTCTCCGCCCCTGCGCTTGCCCAACGCGAGTCCTTTAGGCCCTTTTTGATCATAGCCTCAATTATAGCATCAGCATCCAACATCTCAATGTCGGTTTGCCGCGTTCTTCCATCTGCGCGACTATGTAGGCTTCCATCATGTCAAGATCGATGGCGTTCGGCGCCATTCATCTTTCCTTCATCCTGTTGTTCGCCACATTTCTGGCAATTTTCAGCATGTTTCTCTACATCTCTTGACGCATCTGGTGGTGGTGTTTCTCTACTTTAGTGGTTAACAAAATTTTCGTAGTTTTCGCGGATTTTGGGGGTACCGGTGCCATTTTAAGGCCGAGTGGCGCGGTACAACGAGAAATTGATGTGAAAATATATGAGATATGGATTCAACGGCTGGAATGGGTGGATAAGGCAAACTTTCATCTATTTCTCGAAATGTGCGGTTTGTTTGTTCATTAACGTGCTAGGTAAAGTGACTACCGGAGCTTGAGCACGGGTGGGGCCGGGCTGGATCAGGTTAACTACCATTAAGTACATCTGCCTCGTCCCGCCTGAATGACCGGACCACCTCAGATTTCACCCATGTGTTGAGTGATGTCAAGCCCAACCGTCCAGAGCACACCCTTTTGACGCGCCGAAGCGCAAATTCCTCCTCAGGCTCGGTCACAACGCGCCCGAGCACTTGATACCTTCGCCAACTGTAACTTTTCCCTTCCATTTAGTCCCAGCTTTGGCTCGTCTCAGAATCTCTTCAACTAATCCAAGGGTCGATTTCTTCATTGGAGGCCTCTTCTAGTAGCCCACCAAAGTCTCCTCGGTTTATATTCCCTTTTTCCTACCCCATACAGCATTCCTTTATCCTTTAGTTAGCCTCGTCATCCTAGAAATTTTGTAGAATTTCCACCCCTCCGGCCTTGCCCCGTCGCTGCCGTACCTCTAACCGTGGAGATCAAAAATGCGACTGAGTGCTCAAGACCGAGACATCGGTGCCCCAGCCATTGTCGAACGCTCCAGAGGGAATGCCAGCGAAATGTGTAACGTATTTTTTCGGTAGCGATTCGTCGCAGGTCGAGTTGTTGGTGCCCTTGGCCGAGGTGAGGACGCATCTAAGGCTGGTATTTCAAGCATACCTTCACAGTGACTGGCAGTTGCGGAGGTGAGGACATCCTCTTGCATCTTAGTTAGTGACTTGGCTTTTGGAGGTATGGGATTGCTTTGGTAGGTGATGAGATAATTGTGGAGAGGGCCGCAAGATGAGTTTGACTGGGAATGATTTTCCAGAGAAAAAAAGATCTTGAAGGTATCGGTTGTTGTAATACGAGCATCAGATAAGTTATAGGCTGTCTGCGGTTCGCATTTGGGGTGTAGATGGTTGATTTCGTTGAGTTGTGCAGTCATGAAATCTCTGCAAGTCGGATTTTCGACCAAAAATGAGCCAACACCATTCCTCCCGATCACCAACTCGACAAAAACTCTCAAATTCACCCTTTAACGTGACTGAATCGCGGCTCATGGGGGATATTTAACCCCCAATTTTGAAGAGGACACCACTTACAGGTGATTAGCCTTCGTCCTCCTTAAAGTTGCTTGTATTGGGCTTCTTTGCTGACTAATGTCTAATTCAAATACTAAATTTGGGGTAGGGGTACGCAGGATCCATGTTGTTGATCAACTCAATATGAATAGAACATGCTTGCGAGCCACCAAAACCACCCTTGATTAGACTAGACCAGACGAACTACTACTGAGCCATCTGGTCGGTTATATACAGTGTAGTTTGAGTAGCCTAGGCACCTATTCCACATGGGAAGAAGACATCTTGGATTATATTTCGTGCGGAGAAAAGTTAATGGATGATGGAGGCATGTCTGGATAACTCAGGGTTTTTGAGACAGTCCCCTGGGTGGGTATTGACAGATGAGGGTTGACTTGGGGTGAAGATAAAGCCGCCATAACTTCGCAGTGGTACTCGCAAATGAAATCTGAGGCATGAGTGCTCTTCTTGTATATTGAGTCATCTTTTCTACACACTTTCTTTGATATTGAGTCATAGGTAGATAGCTACATACGCAGTTAAAATCCGATACAAAAAAACATTGAAAGGGCTATTTGGTCAGTCTTGCGCCCACGTTGATGAAGTGATCCTAATAAATAGATTTTGTAATGCAAGTGTCACCCAAATCCAAAGACTCACTTCACATGTACGTTAAAGGATAAGTGTCACACAAGTGGCTTGATAAGCATTATTTAAAGATAGTTCCTCGTTGTAGAGAAGAACAGGTTTGTTTAGCAATACTTCATTAACCGTCTTGGTCATTAGAAACGACCATACGCCTATTATGGACAAAATTAATCTCTTCAAATCCTTCGATGAATTAAAGCGTTTACCAGACATCGCAGCTATCAAATCCTGTACACCTTGCTCCAAAGTATCAGTACATCCATGCCGCTAACATTCATTCGGTCTGTAATTAGTAACACCGACTCCAAAACTAGGATTTCTATCCATAGTAGTCTCTGCATCTTCTTTAACTGCTGACGTAGACCAGATTAAGTGATTGAGATAAAGAGTCCCTCTTTACCTTGATTTTATTTGCGGCTACCCAATATTCATATGCCTAACGTCACTTCCTTTCCCTTTACTCGTCCTATGACTTGCGCAGGTGCATACTTTCTTATGACCTGTAGATTTAGTCTTGTTAGTGATTATGTTTCCCTTGAGTATTACGAAAAAGCATATCAACTTGCCTCGTCGTCATGTAACATTTCAAATTCTTCAGTGGCATCTCTTCCCCTGAAATTCATAATTGCCTGTGGGCCACCAGGGTGTTCATCCAACCAATTGCCTAAATCTAACACAACACCCTTTACTACGACCCATAGGTCGCTTTCAGTGTTGTGCTTTGCGACTTCTTCCATACTGTATTCAGTTTGAGGAATCTCAAACTTTTGCGGCTTTGCTGACTGGCTTGCGAGAGCATCAGTGTGATTCACGTTCTGGAGGGCTTCAGGGGGTGAAGTAGATGATTCTGTTCGTTGGCCGTGCAAAACTGGTATCTTGCTATTGGTGTTCCATTCCACAACAACCTTTCCGGCCTGACTTGGATCGATGTGAAGCGATATTTGAGCCAATCGAGAAGAGGCACTCGAATTACCTTGAAGCGCTTGCTGAAAAAGGTAATTGGAAGCTGACTCTCCCGCTACACGGCCATAAACAACGCAGCCAAGAAGAGAAGACCCCCCAAGACGGTTGGCCCCATGTACACCCCCAGCAAGCTCTCCGCAGGCATATAGACCCTCAAAAGCTTTCCCCTCTGCATTCATAATCTGGGCTTGATCATTTATTTCTATCCCACCCATGGTAAAATGCAACACAGGCTCCATTATGGCGACATGGAATTCATCATCAACTTGTAGGGGAGTGTTGTGAAAAAACTTTTTTCCATAAGGATCCTGTTTCTTACCTTCTGAGATATTGTTGTACTCGTTGAAGGTTGACTGAAGATGTTCGGAAGTACAGCCAATTTCTAGAGCTAGTTGTTCCCCAGTCATTTTTTTCATGAGACCGCGTCCAGCATAGTGTCGAGTGTGAAAATCCAATACATTGGATGCCTTTGAATTCAAGATCAAGCGGATGGGAAAACGACCTTTTTCTTTTTCTTTCCACATCTCACCAGACACATAGTCCCGATGACCGAGTTCATCACAAAACCGATCACCATTGGCATTTAAGAGAAGGCCACCCTCACCTCGGAGAGCTTCTGCCGCTAAGAACTTCCATTTCGATGTAGGATCTTTAGGATCAACGAGACCGGTGGGATGGACTTGGACTTTATCCATGTCAATTCCGTTTCCACCAATAGCCATCACCATCTTCTGACCGTCACCAGTTGCGTGAACGCCGTTGGTAGTGGAAAGGTTGTATGTGTCTGGTCGGTACTTTTTGAGAAGCGAAGTCTCGGTGAAGTCTGCTGCATAGCCCCCCGTTGCTAGTACTACAGGACCGTCGATGGAAAAGGTTTTTCCGCCAACTTCATACGTTACGCCCTTGACTTTGTTCCCATCTTTGTTTAGTGCACTGACTTTTGCTTTCTTGATAATCTGAACTCGTTCTGGTTGTGATTCCGCTAGCTCTTCTAGTCGCTGCATTAGTGCATAGGTAATGGCCATTCCTGGGAACTTGGCGTCATGTCCTCGATGGGTTCGTGGTTGCGAGTGCCCGCTGAGGGTGATGTTAGTGACAGCGCGTAATATCTAGATTGAACAGGGTCTTTTACCCTAAGCGTGAGACCAACGATAGGTCCAGGTTAAAAACATCTTGGAGCCACTCTACCGCTGCTGCCGATTTGTATGTGAGCACTCGTATCAAATCGGGTCTTGCCTGATCTCTAGCCGACTTTAATGTATCGTTGTAGAACTGCTTGACGCTATCACGAATACTAGAATCCACTTGAGTCCGTGTAAGAGCGGCATTTATACCCGACGTCGCCTTTGTCGAGTTTCCTCCAAAAAAGCCTTCGCATATGTGTGAGCGTGGGTCGTTGTTAGTGTGATACAGAGATATACATACTCTGTTTGTCTAGGACAACTACATTTCCACCCGCAAGGTAAATAGTGTGCGCCGCACTCAAGCCAGATACTTTATAGATGTCCTATCAGTTTATCGTCAACAATATAGGGTTTGGACTTACATCCACCACCAACAACAATAACCTTAATAGACATTATCGGCAAATGATGGAAAAATGGTTACTGTTGGATGAGAGGCGGTAACAGAAGGAAGCTTTCCCAATTTGTACTTTGGCAGCTTCGGGATCCACGTGTACGGGGGGGAAGCAGAGTCTTGACATGTGGCATTAGACAGCGCCAGCCAAAATTTCAAGCTACCTACTGCCCGCTTCCAAATGCCAAGCACATGTTGCATGGGTGGGCAAGGAAGATTTTCTACTTGGTGGAGTATGACGGGAGAGCGCGGTGGTTTGTAGAGAAGGGAAGAAGGAGACGCCGGTAGCTTTGAGGAATACTATCTGACGCTCAAGCAGATCTGGAATCTAGGGTCCTGTAGATAATTTTACGAGTTATTCGTGATCGTGCAGCTGTAGAGGTTGGCCTGCTTACGACAAATCCTTATCTACATCTTTCGAAGCAAACAGATTGAGGAGTGGTGGTCAGAAGCGGCTTTTTGAACGTCCAACAGGGTGCTTGCGACTGACGCGTTCTGATTTGATTAAGGATTTGCCCAGGTTTGATTGTGAGATTCGAATCTACATGGTCTTGGACAAGTCTGTACAAAGCCAAGACTGGCGTTGGCGGGCAACAACTAGCATGAAGAGTCTCCTATGATTAATTGACGTCTATATTTACAACTTTGCAATCGATCACGCTCCGTAACTGGGGGCATGTGGGGGGGAGGCACGCGTATCCAGCTCATGCACGGCCAACAGGGATCATGCTAGGATGGATGACTTGCGTCTAGTGCCTTGTAGCCTTAGGCCAATCAAGGCTGATAACCGCGGCTGTTCAGGGGTTGCAGAGAGAAGATATTGGTCCCTATGAATCCGTCTGAAAGGGATCCTTTCCAAGGCTTGTCGACCCATTTGCCATGATGATGGGAACTACAGCGGATGTGGCCACAGTCAGATGCAAACTCGCCGTCCCGTTCACGATGGAGTCAAGCCTCAGCTCCTTCGCTGTCTATCAAAGGTTCAGTTAATGCCGGCGTGCTAACATCTCGAGCTGCCGATGCAACCATTGTAGTGGGAACAGACGTGATCGCTGCTCTGATGCACCCAGTCACGTCAGAGCTGAGGACGACTGCATGGTTGGTATTTGTTCTATGCCCTTGCCCATAACAAGATAGATCATGGGTACATTAGCGCAGCGGATTCTACGAGGTTGATGGGACTCTTTTGAAACCGTGATTACAACTGCACTAGCAGTATATTCGCGGCTGAATGATCAACGCAAAGCTGACTAGACATTACGTAAAGCAGTGTAGAGCGGGTGAAATCGGGTAGATCTGGAGAGATGGCGCGTTTTGACATTACGTAACGCGACCGGTCAGATAATCCGATGTGCGACGGTAGACTAGATCGAAGTCCAGAAGCCATCCTTGCGCACATCCCGAGAGAATGGTGTCAGCCAGACATGGCGCGTGCTCCACGATCTGGGGCATAAATGAGACAGAGATCGGCCAAAATAGTAGCTATGTTGTACTTTGACATATGGATTAAGCCAATCAATGATCTCCATCTTCCCACCTTAAATCAACCAGCAGTCCATGGCCTGCTAGACTCATCGCCTTGCGCTCGAATCGTCTACTGATTCCGCTCCAGCCACCCGACCACACAGGCATAAGGGATATAACATAGGCTGTGCAATAAAATGTACCTTATGCAGAGCTCGATACCACCCAATGCCGCCTTTTGTCTTCGACCTTGTACGATTGTTATTCAGCCGGGCCAGAAATTTTACCTGGAAATCATGGTGCACCTTGTCTGTAGATCAAAACTATCTACGCTTCCCCACGTCTGTTGCGTAGCTCTACTATTCTCAGAGGTCTTCATTTAGACACGAAATTTGAGGAAATATAAACCCATCAACATGACCATCTTCGTTCCTCCAAACATAAGCCATATGTGTGTCTATAGCTGTATGGATAACTCTTAGAAACCAATGGCTGATAGACTCCCATACTACCGACACCGGGACTAATTCTGAAGACAAATCTAGCCTTCTGAATCATCGAAGTGACCGGCCTGCTGGGCGCTGCACTAACAAGTGTAACTAAAAAGTAGGAGCAACAAGATTGAACACCTGTACGTGATGCTCTCAAAGAAACTAGGAGTCAAATATTCCCTTGGTCACTGAGGGTCAATTGAAAAACATAAAGGGAAGGTAAGTAGATCAGATCTCCACTGTAACCAAAAGAAAACTTCGGTACAGGGACAAGTCTTCTACTAGTTTCTGCGCATTGTGAGGGATTGTAGGACCATTTTACCACGGTGTACAAAACTAAACCTCTCCAGAAACGCTGTGGTTTAGCTTGAGACCTTTACTCAAACATCCGAGTAAATATCTCAACCCAACGCATGACGACTATCACCCGACGTAGCCCGGTCAAAGCTATATCATGCAAACAATCCCGAGCTAGTCATATTTCCTTAAAGAAAGGTTTAACCAGCTTTCGTAACATCGAACAAGCTGGCCCATGAGATAATGATTCGATACTCTCTATCAAATTAAACTAGTACTCCTTGTGAAATCTAGCTAGGAAATAGACACATCCTATCCACGAATGCGAACCGGTGCATCTTCTTTTTATGTTCCGTAGCTAAGTAAGCCCAGTCTTTTGCCTTGGCTGGCCCTATTTCCTAGTTCATAGTGTAATCATCTATGAAATATCTTTATATTCACATCCAACCCCCTAACTCGAGTGCAGGCGATGTTAAAAATACCTCCATGGCTGGATGGTGCGGTGGTACATCGTCTTGGCCGGTCTCTCTTGTAGATTCTTGATACATGTAAATCTGACCCACAATGGACAAGAGATCGCTGATCTGAATCCGGCGAAACACAACCACATTTCTCGCGGCGCTGGTGTACACGGATGACGAAGACATGCTTGGATATTCAAAAGTTTTGAATTTCCCTTTGGTGGGCACTCATAGATACGGGCCAATTGCTATATTTAGGAAAATATATTTGACAGTGATATTTGCCAATGAAATCCACAATCTGAATGTCTATCGTTAAAAGAGTCGTCCAATATGTATTCACAGTACCGATCATTTGTCATAGCTAGATAACTGAATACACGCTAAATGATATAACAAAACACCGCCTAACTCTAAATAAATCACTCTTCAAATTTGCTAGACAAGCTTCCAATTAAATTTCCTAGCTTGAACCTATTCATGTGCTTCAATGCACCTGGGTGTGTCCAAATATTTTGATAGTGCTTCTGTCGGTTCTAGCCAGGTTAGATGTTGCAACCTTGGGCCAATGGCTCGGCAGACAATGCTAACGGACTAATCGGCTAACTGGTCGGGACAGGCCTGTGCGTCTCATCTAATCTATGGAGACTCAGTCAACTCTATTCCCATTCCTCAGCACTAGTGTTTAAGTCCTGTCAACAGCTTCCCATCCCCTCTCTGTTCGAAATTAGTCCGTACGTGTTCGTAGATCTATGCCTTGAAAACCTTTTCCCATTGATATCTTATTAAGGAATAGTGAAGCAATAAGTGCTGTACATTCTGCCATTCCGTCATACAGAAATTGCAGATATTGTCATGTACCTCTCCTATCATGTTCAGTGACACTCACAACCCCTACTCCAAGTTTTGCCGCAAAGCATGCAACTACGCTCTCCTTGCCAAATCATTGGAACCTGAGGAGCTCTGAGGAAAATTGACATGGTTCATCTGTAGGGCTTGCTGCCTTTGCTGTAAACGAGAGCAAACTGGTGTTGAATAAGTCGATTTATTAAACTTTGCGACGAGAAAAAACTTCTCTGTTTTTGCGTCAGATTTTAATTGCGTGTGCAGCTAGCTAGCTATGATCCAATTTCAAAGAAAAGTACATAATAGACGACTCAATTGTAACTAGAGCACTCATGCCTCGGATTTAATTTGAAAGTACCACTGTGAAGTTATGGTGGCTTTTTCTTCACCCCAAGTAAACTCTCATCAGCGAATGTCCGGCCAGGGAAACTTTCCAAAACCCCGAGTTGTCCAGATATGCCTCCATCATCCATCTACTTTTCTCCGCGCGAAATAGGATCTGAGGCGTCTCCTTCCCAAATAGAGTAGGTGCCCAGGCTACTCAAACTTTACCAGAGAACACCACCAGGAGGCGGACCACAACACCTTCCATCGTTTGCTTGTTTTTATAGTGTCAGCTGCACTCTCGCAACCGAAGACTTGGCACGCAGAAAGCCCAATTCGTAAAACTCCTTGCCAAAATTCAGAATTTCAAGTCCATCGAGATTATATCCTTCCTCTATCTCATCTTGTGAACCTGTCCTGATCCCTCTCACGTCCATCCCAAAGAACTACTCGCAGATTTGTGCGCCACGCTGTGCTTCCTCAGTCGAGCATAAATATCGGCGTGGGCGTATATTTGGTGGTCAACTGAGGCCAGAGAAGGTCGGAGAGAGGTATGGTCATTGAGATGAGGATGTACTTGGTCGTGCTTGTAGACTTGATGAGGTTGAAGTGGAAGTAGATTTCGTTAGTAATGAAAGATTGGCAAAAAGGAGTATTTTTAATCATTGCCTCGTGGGCCAACTTGATCGGTATTTCGAAATTTGACTGAAATTGGCTCTTGGAAAATATTTCACTCCCAGGTTTGTAGTAGACACCGCGTACAGGTGTTCAGTCTTGCCCTCCCAGTCCTTGATCATCCTGCCTATAGGGAATCCGCATTGGTGCCTGTTGGTACAACGGGGTTCACTTGGTTCAATGCCTCAAAAAGTGCTATAAACAAGTAGTATCATTCTATCTATTTTCCCCTCTTCTCTTTCCTCAAGCACCAATATCTAAATTACAAATCGGAGCTTGGCGCCCGAGCCAGGTCACATGATACATTGACTAATCCCTATAGAAGTACATATCCAAGTCAAGCCTTTTATCCCTACGCCATTCACCTATGAACCGACAGTTACAAACGCCATGGCCCGATTAGATGAGTCCATGCTTGAGAGATACGTGGATAATGGGTGATAC